AGTTTTAGCAAGATTTTCCTTTACTGTAAGAGGAAGTCTGTATGCCGCCATTAAACATGTGACTTACTAGAGGCGCATACAAATGAGGTAATAAAAGGGCGCTTTACCACACCGCTAACCACACCCACTGTAGGCATGACTAAAGACGTATACGGCTGGACCTAAAGACGTAGGTGGTGAACTACGTCACTAGCCAGGCCCACTTTTCGGCATGGCTAGGGGCGTTACGGGGGGAAGGCATAAAAGACAGCACACAGGAAGTCTCGGTCTCTTTTCCCGGAGTTCGGCTTCCGGTTCGGCAGCGGGAAAACTACTTGGCTCATCTGGGTTACTTGTTTGGTATCTTGTGAGTAATTTCTACAATAAATACTTAGTTTTACTTTCAGTAAGTGTGTCGCTTATCGTTACAGTGTCATTTGGAGCCACACTTTACCTTAAACATTAGTACTCTGGCCTAGAGTTTACTATGTAGCTCAGTTTCGCCTCATGCTTACAGCACTCCTCTTGCTTCTGCCTTCCAAGTACTGGGATTTTAAGTGTGAGTCACTATACACAACAAACATTGGACTTCCTAGGACTCCATCCTAATTTTGACTCTCTGCCCACCATTCCAGTGGCATGTACTTACTGAAAACCCCACAGAGGTTTCCTCCCCCCCTCTGGGGAGGGGGAGGTTGAAATTCAGGTGAAGGGCTAGCATGATGGGCTCAGAGGTTAAGAGCACTCACCGCTCTTGCAGAGGACCAGGGTTCAGTTCCCAGCATCCATTTAGTACCCAACAACCATCCCTAACCCCAGCCCCAAGGGGTCTGATGCTCTCTTTTTTGACCTCCAAGGGCATGCGTCTGGTGCACTTACACACACGGAGGCAAAACACCCACACACGCGAAATAAAAACAAATAAACCTTAAAATTCAGTGAATTTACTCCCTTCTCAACAAATCTCTTATCTCAGAGAAATTATGACTGTTACGGTTTGGACCTTAAATGTCTTCCAAAGGCCCAGCTGTTAAAAGGCTTGGTCCTCGATGTGCTGTCATGTAAGAGGTGGGGGCTAGTCTTCAGGTCATTGGGGGGACATGTCCCTTGAAGGTAATAGTGGAACACCAGCTCCTTCCCCCTTCCCTTTCTTTGCTTCCTGGCCATGAGGTGCTACTCTGCAAGCTCTCCCACCCCCCCAACCCCATGATAATACTCCCTCATCACCATGGGACCCGATTGACCACAGACTGGAACCACCAAAACTGTAAGCCAAAAAAACACTTTCTCTTTATAGGTTGATCACTCTGGGTGTTTTATTTCCATGATGGGAGCACTCTCACACGTCTTTTGGCCCCTGGCTGGTCTGGCTGCTCTCTCACCAAGTCATAAACTATCCCAAAATACAGTGGTTAAAAGCAAGCTTTTATTTTGCTCATGGATTTGTAGGGCTGAAGGATTTGGCTTAGTGGCACGCCTCGGATCTGTGTCATCAGCTGGGTATGTAGGGCAGGAGGGCCACTTCCACTCACATTGTCTGAATCCATTGTCTTGACTTCTTTACCTCCATGTTCTCTTATTCTCCTGGGTCTCTACTGGTTGGTGGTCTGGGTCTCTCACCACTCATTGTTTCAGTGCTAGCCACTGTTTTTTTTTTATGTGGAGCCAGGGTTCTAAGAGTCAGGGTAGATGGGGTGAGGCAGACTGGGTTCTGTAATTGTAACTGGCGCAGTGTAACTTCCATATCCTAGTGTGCAGAGTAGGCTCAGGGTCAACCCAGGGTGAGGAGATAAATAGGACCATCTTTGCAAACACACCTGACTAGCTCACCTACCACAATGCACCACCAAGTCTCATCCACATGACCTCGGAAATAACTTTCTTTTTGCACAGGTATTTATTTTTTTAATTTTAATGTAATTATTTTAAATTATATGTGTGCGTCTGTGTGGCTATATGTGCACCAGTGCAGATCTTGGCAGAGGCCGAAAGTGTTGGATGCCCCTGGAGCTGGAGTCACAGATGGTTGCAGACCACCTGATATAGTGCTGCAAACTGAACTCCAGTCCCCTGGAAGAGCAGCACATGAGCACATGCATTTGACTGCTGAGCCATCTCTCCAGCCCCGGAAACAACTGTCATACGCCTTGGCTCCTCTCCTTCCCCTCTGCGGTTGCCTGGAGGCCACTTCCCACCAATGGCTTACATGGTTCTGGGAAGTCCTCTATTCTCAGTGGGATTAATAGGGTACCCTTTAAAAGATAAGCTAAGTCGATGTTGACCAAACTTTTACTTGGCTCCCATGTTGATGAGTTTTCTTGTTGCCATGACAAAGTAACTGACAAGAAGCAATTTGAAAGAAGGAGGGGTTTGAGGGAATATATTCCATCATGGGAGGAAGGCTTGGTGGCAGGAGCAGCGGGCCAGTTGGTGTCACCTCGCACACACAGGCCGCTGGAGAGCACAGAGAGATGAGTGACAGTGATTGGCTCACTTGCTTATTTCACGTAGTTCAGGACCAAGCCGGTGGAATGGCGCTTCCTGTGTCTAAGGTGTCTTTCACTTAGGTAGTTCCTCTTAGACATCCCAGAGGCAAGTTGGCAGCCAGTGCTAGCTGTCACAGGTTCACACTATTATGAAAATCCTAGCCCTCTCTACTTACATGTCTGTCCTCAACTCTTGTCCCACTTTTCACCCTGTACTTCAGGCAGATAGAATGCTACATATTGTTATTTCCTGAAATTTTCATTAACACATTCAAAGAATTTTGATCATATCCCCTCCTACTCTCTTCTGCCAACAACCTCCCCTCAACACACCTGTTTTCCAACTTCATTGCCCTCTCTCTCTGTCTGTCTGTCTGTCTGTCTATTTGTCTACCTACCTACCTACCTACCTATTTTGGGTTTTTTTTTCTCAAGACAGGATTTCTCTGTGTAGCTATGACTGTCCTGGAACTCACTCTGTAGACCTCCCCTTACTTTTTAAACACACTGGGGTTAATTAGTATTGCCCGGTATGCACACGGATGGGGTTGTTGGGGGGGGCATTGACAATTTATTGACGACTAGCCCCCACCCTCTCCCCCCAAAAATCTTGGCTCTTCCATCACCTGCCAGAAGCAGAAGCTAGTGATTAGTGATTAGTGATTAGTGATGAGAGACTCGTAACAATTTACGGTGCTAAGAATAAGCAGCTGCAAGAGCTCGTAGACAGGGCACAGTTCCGATCCATCTAAGACTCAGAGACTATCACAGGTAAGGGAAGAGGATGTAAGATTTGGAGAAAAAGCTACAAAGTGCTACTCATGGCATGTGACGCAGCCACACACGTGAACTCACAGCGGCTGTGGTCCCCTGCACAAGACCTGCACAAGATCAAGCCAGTTTCAAATTCCAGCACAAATCGGGGGAGTCCCCTGACACCCTACCACTAGCCAAAACCTACATGTTTTGTTTTTGTTTTTGTTTTTGTTTGTTTTTCTGGACAGGGTTTCTCTGTGCAGCCTTAGCTGTCCCGGAATTCACTCTGTAGACCAGGCTGGCCTCAGAACTCACAGAGATCCTCCTGCCTCTGCCTCCCCAGTGCTGGGATTAAAGGCGTGTGCCACCACGATGTTTCCACGTCCTCTTCTGTCTTCTACACCATCTTCATTGGGCTAACATCTCTTCAACCCTAACTTTTATGTTTTAGTATAAAAACTTAGTATACAAGCTTGCCTATCCCAAGACTGAATATTTGGTCGCCCCCATTCCTGGAACATCCCACTGGTCTCTCACATACTAACCTAACCACTCTTCTTGCAAATTCATCACCTTTGCAAGTTTGCATTTGATGTCTTCTAACAGGGGCATGGATAATGGCAGCTTTGCACTTAGTCCGCAGATAGTTTCCAGAGTGTTTCCAGTTCATAGTTTCAATGTTATCTAAACATTGTATCAAATAGATGATTTTTTTCCTTTTCCTTTTCTCTTTGTCTTTCTTATTCTGCAGGAAAGTGGTAGATGTGTGTTAAGTTTCCCATTATAATTGTGGCTTCCTTATAAAATTTATGTTTTACATAAATTCCTATAAAATTTATAACAATGTTTTATCTATTTGGATACTGTTATTTAGTTAATAAGAGCTCAAAACCTTATTCATTAGGTATGACTTTTATAGATGTTAATTATTTTTGTCTTAATTTGTCTGCCTTGCCTTAAATTATATTTCTGAATTTCACATTTCCTTCTGTGCTTAATTTTTACTCACAATTGACCTTTCTTTGCCATTTCTTCTGGGTTTTTTGTTTGGTTTGATTTGCTTTGGTTTTGGTGGGTTTGGTTTTGTTTTTTGCTTTTTTAGCTTATACGGAAGGTGTTTGGTTGTCCCCAGCCAACATTGACAAGGCCTAGGCTGGCTTTAAACCAATGGTTCTCCCTGCCTCATGAGTGCTGGGTTTATAGAACCATGGCACTATGCTCCATTTATATAGTACACATTTCGATTTAAAAAAAATAATAGTATGACCTGTGCTAGGGAAACAACCAAAGGAATCTACCTGATTTTCAGCATTAGGCCAACAAATATCAAGGCCTATTAAGGCTGTGTTAAAAATCATTTTGGTGGTGCTAAAGGGACAGCTCAGTGATGAAAGAGATCTTGGTGCTCTTCCAGTGACCAGGGTTCGGTTCCCAGCACCCAGCAACTTCAGTTTGAGGGTATCTGATGCCTCTGGCTTCCTTAGGTTCCTACACTGACACACACACACATCACACAGACACACAGACACTCTCTCTCTCTCTCTCTCTCTCTCTCTCTCTCTCTCTCTCTCTCTCTCTCTCTCTCAGACACCTATGCATAATTAAAAGTAACAAAAACAAATCTTTAAAACTCATTTTGATGGTAATGACACTTTATTCCAACTTAAGTGCCTTTTCTACTTCTGATGTTTATTTCCTGTAAATACGCAAAGACACCAGAGAAGAGGCAATCTGACTAATTGGCAGCTTTCAGTTTTTCTCTTGCTGCCTGCCCTTGCTTTGAGCAAGAAAGACTGTCAGTCAAGTAGTCCGCCAGCTTCTGTTTGGATGATTCCAAGATGCCTCGAGACAACTATGCAAAAGTTTCTGGCTGATTGCCCAGACTCTTGAAAGTACCGCCCGAGGCAAGGCTGTTTAAAACAGGTTTGTCTCCAGCTTTTGTAGCCACAAGCCTCACTGGACCATTTCCACCTTGGCCAGAGAAGAAACAGGACCCATTGTAGAAGGACTAAGCCCATGGCAAAGCAGTGAAAGAGGCAAGACTGTGATTGGGGCCAGGGAGAAGACTGACGGGGCTAGGAACAAGGCTGCCATTGGGGCCAGAGGGAATACTATTATTGATGTTAGAGGAAAGCCTGTGACTGGCCAAACAAACGGTAAGTATAAATAAATAACAAAAATTTAAAACTTAGTCTGCCGGGCAGGTCCAGTGGTTTACTGGATGAAGGCACTGGCTGTCAAGCCTGATAACCTGAGTCGATCCTCTGGACCCTCATGGTGGAAAGGGAAAGCTAACAAGAATTGTTTCTCACGTTCACGAGCATGCTGTGGCGAACGTGCTCACACACAGGCACACAAATAAATAAATACCATTATCTTTTTTTTTTTTAAATAACTGTGTACTGGTTAGTCTTATGTCGCCTTGACACAAGATAGAGTCATCAGAGAGAAGGGAACCTTAATTGAGAAACTGAGAAAATTGGGCTACAAGCAAACACGTAGAGGTTTTTTTTTTTGTTGTTGTTGTTGTTTGGTTGGTTGGTTGATTTTTAATAATCGATGGGGAATAGTCCAGAGCCCAGCCTGTTGTGAGTATGCCACCTCTGGGCTGGTGGTCCTGGGCTCTATCAGAAAGCAAACTGAGCAAGCCATTTGGAGCAAGCCAATAAGCAGCATCCTCCATGGCCTCTGCATCAGCTCCTGCCTCCGGGTTCCTGCCCTGCTTGAACTCCTGCCCTGATTTCCTTCATTGACGGACAGTGCTGCTTTTGGTCATGGCATTTTTAATCACAGTAATAATAACCCTAGCTGGGACCGTATGATTAAAGACTTCGTCTTTTACTGAAACTATTTGACTCGTTTACATTTTTCCTTCATAACTGATAAATGTGGTCCTTTGCCTTCCGCGTTGTCTTGCATTTCTCTGGTTTTACTGCAATTTAAAAATTCTCAGTTGGCACAATAGCTGTACATGTTTATGGACTAGAGTGTGATATTTTTAAAATATATATATGCAGGATGGGCTATTATACATCTCGGCTCAGACATCTACGGTGTTTTTCTAGTCCTCTCACTTTTTTTTACAGCGTGGAACCCGGACCCTTGCACTGGCTGGACAGCGCTCTCTTGAACTCCACCCCGACCAGTTCTGTTTCTTAGTCCTCTGCTATTGGTATTAAAGCTTTGCTACTTTGACTCTTAATCTAGCTGGGGAAACAAATGTTTGCGAGACTATTAAGGCATCTATATTTATCTACTCACTATCCAACACACTACCTTCCTAATATGTACTTGGTATGTGCAGACTACTTGGAGGACACAGTGGCTGAAAAGTTCGGGCATGGGGGGTTGGGGAGAGGTAACTTTTCCCTCATAAAGCCTAACAGTTTAACAAAGACAATTAGAGAAATAGTGTTGGTAGAAAAATTCACATCAGTGTGATTACCCAAGCAATCATTTTCTACCTCCTTGGGCTCTCACTCTCACCGCTCCGCATCCAACTCACAGGCTGCTTACATGTCACCCAGATAGCTGAGGTCCTGTAAGGACCAGCTGGAGGCAAAGGTTCCCCCAGCAGCTGCCTAACTGACATATCCATGATGTGTCACCTGCAGGGGAACACAACACGTGTGGCAAAGGCTCTGGTTTCCTAACTAGGCGACAGAGAGAGCTCAGTCTTGCAAGAGGCATGCTTCTAAGAAATTAGGGACCCGAATAACTTTTCTGCATTGCTTACAGAGAAACTAGCATCTCAAGGTTCACTGCACTCAGGAAGAGATCCTACGGCCCCGGCCATGCAGAAGCTGAAGCGTGCCCGGCATCGATGGCATAAGAAGCCAAGAGAGGAGCTGATGCTCCCTGACCCTGCAGAAGCTAGACTGAGACACCAGCTGTGGTTCCTCTTTTGCACATCTGGCAAGGTAAGGGACAGCTCGCTTGTGCACAGCTTAGGAAACCAAGCCTTCGGGGCAAGTTACACCAGACATTTGGAAACTGACACAGACCATGGTTAGAGCGGCTGGGGGTTGCTGACACAGAAGGGGGGGTCAAGGGGGTGCAGAGTTTCAGTTGGATAGGAGAAATAGGTTCTGTGACCCAGTCACTGTATGGTGACTGTCATTATGGTAATGTGTGTTTCATAGTGGTAAAAAGAGTAGACTTTCCATGTCTTCATCACAAAGAAGTAATAAGAGTAGAGGTGATAAATATATTAACTATCTTGGTGTGCTGGTGCACACCTTTAATCCCAGCAGAGGCAGAGACAGGCAGATCTCTGTGGCTTTGAGGCCAACCTGGTCTAGGACAGCCAGAGCTATGTAGAGAGATCCTGTCTCAAAAAACAAAACAAAACAAAAAATCATTAATTATTGTATGCATATATATTATATATACAGTATATACATATACATCCCCAACATATTCGTGCATCAAAATATTATATTCCATGTTCTTGGTAAATATATGTAATTATTTTTTACCAACTACATAATGTATTCAATTTTTTAAAAGAAGATCTATGGGTTAGGAGATGGGCTAGGCACTTGTATAATGATTGCTGTCATGAATGGCTGTCCAATCTAGGTTAATGGAAATGGCAATTCAGTTTCTACAGTGTAAATCACAGGGGCTATGGAAAGGAAAATTAAGCTGAGTTGAGAGACAAGCAGACAACCACCCCGGGCTCTATGCCAACACTGGACAGTTTTGCCTATAGGGCAAAGACAGCCAATGCTCTGTGCTTATGCAGAGTGTATCAGTAACTTCCTGAGTGTGGGAACATACAGCCTGCTTGCCTGTGTTTTTCAACTTCCATGGAGGACATGGAAGAGAAGACAATGCCTTGGAAAAGGCAGGGAAAACACCTAATATCCAAGCCAACTCCCTTGACTCTTGAGGGCCTAGAGAATTCATCTATCGCCCAAACTGTCCGCTTCTCAGAAGGAAGATGTCCTGGTTGAGGGGTGACATGTGCCTCTAATGTTCTCTGGGAGACATCTAGAAAAAGAGGGTTATTTTCTGAGTGTGGCCACATGATTCACAAGAGAGGACACATCTAGGACAATGGTTATGTGTCATAAACTAAGGACACAAATCTATCCTGACTCCTTCCAGGACCCTGCTTCAAATATAGACTGGGCATCAAAGTGATTTTCAGTAAAAAGTGTCTTTATTAGATTCATATATATACAGTATATATATATATATATAGAGAGAGAGAGAGAGAGAGAGAGAGCTATAAAGTTATAAGAATCATTTAATGTAATATATCAATTACTACTTTTTAAATTCCTTTAAAGGTAAAAGGTCATCTTTTACATGGTCTTTAATAGAGAAGCAATTTTAAAAACAATTACTTTTATAGCTATATTTTGAGTATGCAAAAAGCTTATTTTAATACACGGTGAAACTTTTTATAATATCAATACCTTTTATTTAGCAAGTGGCCCACTTCAAATTTCTTTAAGTACAAAAAGCCCTAAATTAGGGCCAGCAAGATGACTTAGCAGGTAAGGGCATTTGTTGCCTGGCCACCTGAGTTCAGTCTCCAAACTCACAAGGTGGGAGGAGGGAACTGGTTCCTGTAAATTGTCCTCTTACCTTCATGTGTAACCACACACACACACCATTTTAGAATAATAAAAATAAATCTTAAAAGAAATTGACATTGAGCCAGATGCCATTAGCTACTGTTCATGGCATGAATTCCTGCAGGGGCGGTGGTGGCACACGCCCTTAATTCCAGCACTCTAAGAGGCAGCGGTAGGTGGATCGCTGTGGCCTCTATGAGGCCAGCCCAATCTACGAAGGAGTTCTAGGACAAAAAAATTACCTCAATGAGTGGGAGTTGACTTACATTTAAGATACCCTGATGGACAAGACCACCGCCTGAGCCTGGTTTCTTTCACTAAGAGAGCAGACTTGTCAATAATTATCTTTTCTCCCACATGTTACTCTCTGACCTGAGTTACTGACCATAGTTTTAAATAGCTTTTCCTGCCCGAGTCTGAAGATTATGTGGGGGGAGGCAGTGATTTAAATGGGGGCCACCCTGAACTTACCACCCCCACCTCGCAACCCAGAACAAGTCCTCCATAGCTCCCCAAAGACAAACCATTGGCGTTTACTGTCTTCCTTTAACTGGCCAGTTTTAACAGCCTTCCTGTAGGGTGTCATTTTCATACTTCTAACAAGCTCCTGTAACACCCTATCCCAGGTAACAACACAGTGGCCTTGAGAGAAGTAACTGCTGCAGACCCTGAAGAACGCCTGCAAACCAAAGCTGGCTGACAAGCCAGAGGTCTGTCCTCTGTGCTCTGCACTGCCCCAGGACTCCCAAGACTTGTGTCACCAGGCTGGTGCTAACCACGTGCTTATTAACATGGGAGCCAGTCAAAGCAGTCAAAAAAGTCTCAGCGGTCATGCACTTGAAAGCAAAGTTTTAAGTGATGTGAGGCAAAAACCAAGAGACCTGAAACAAAGAAACCCGATCACAGTGATATCTAGAGACCACGTCTGTCAGGACATAGGCCTGGGAAACATCCTTTCATGTTCTCTGTTGGGGGGATCCAAGAGGCTCCCAAAACAATGTAAGCTGTTGTCCGTGCCCTTGGCTGCCTCCCAGAACTTGAAACACCACATGGTTCAGACACAGGACTGGAAGCTTCCTCTCTGGGGACTGACTCTCACCGCATCAGGAGGTACTACGCAAGCTGCCAAGGGAGAGGAGCATTCAATAGTCTAACCCAACCAGAAAACCTATGACCAACCTGGCAAGATATCCCTAAGAGCGCAACAGTGGCACTTACATCTTGAGGATAACCAAAAGCCGTCAAACTGGATTTAGGGCCCTTTCCATAGGTTCCATAGGAGGGAATTCACACTTGGTAGCATAAACCCAGACATCTACCCACGACCAGTGAGGCCACAAATCCTAAAGAAGAACCTATAACATCCACCTTCCTAAACTAGTATAATTTCTAACAGCATTATAAATACTTACACGGGTAAGTGTAGTTTCCACCCCCAACATCAAAAATGCTCTTTTTGTACCAGACAGACAGCATCATAAAAATCCACAGCTGGTCAAAATACGAAGAACACTAACTGTGAGGTACTCAAGCCCAGTCATACATCGGTTATAACCCTTATATCTAATAGTTAAGGAACATTCCAGAAGACAAGGGAAGATTGTAAGAGCCAAAGGACCAGGCTATCTGCGGCAAGATAGTATCTTCCTTACATGACAGGGAAGCCCCACATGTGAAATCTTAAACCAATACAGCCACCTAAACAAGACCTGCCCAATGGCAACACCAGTTGACATGTCAACATGGATGAGGGAAATCTCACAAGGCCCCAGTCTTGGATGAAGAGCTACTGGCAATTAGCGGTTGCTGAGAGGGAGAATTGATCTTCTCCAGGGACATGCCAATACCAAATGGTTAGTTCCCTAAACACACATATCTATGAGCAACACTAAATGCACTCAACAGGTTGTATGAATGCATGCAATGAACCATTACTAGATGACAATTGTGTGTGTGTGTGTGTGTGATTTCTTTAAAAATGTCACAATAAAACAGCTTAGCATGAAGACGTCTTTAGGTTCTCAAACATGAGTTCTCAGGTAGCCTTCTCTGGACACAAAGCACAAGCAGACATTAAGGGAGAAAGGAAGCCACATAGATAAAAAAAAAAACCTGTCCTCTGTAGGAGGGAGAAGGAGCAGCCTCCCCCTGCACAGGCTTCTCTGCACATTCATGCCCTGCTTTGCCGTCTACCACAGCCAGGTGGTCTGACAGCCGCTCAGCCTGCTTCCTCTGCCGTTTCTAGCTCTTCCTGTCTAGAGACCCATCACACCTCCTTCGATAATCAGAAACCTCTTAAGAGACCGGCCAGCTCCCTGTACGTTGTGCCTGGATATTATTTGCTTCAGAGAGTTAAAGCAAAGCCTCTGTTTAGATCTGGCCCTACGCCCCAGCTGCAGTCTAGCTTCTCCAGGGCATCTCACTAAGCATGACTGAGAACCAGCTCACATTAGTGACTTTGAGTCCCGTTGATTTGAAAGAGCTGGGGTGAATAAGGATGGGGTGACTGGATGTTGGGAGGGCAACTTCCACTCCCGCAGCCCCACCACCGTGTAGATATTATTGACCTGCCATAGAAATGCCCCCTTGATTTCTATCTCACAACTGGAAACTAGAAAAAGAAAACCCTGCATACTATTGTGAATTATTTAGACAATGCAACCTGTAACATATAAGCGGGACATTGTCTTAGTGTGTATGTGTTCATATGTTTGTGCATGTTCCTTTGTATGCACATGTATGTTTATGTAGGCTCATAGGAAGACCAGAGGACAGCCTCCAATGTCGTTCCTCAGGTGCGATCAGCCTTTTGTTTCTTTGTTTGTTTGTTTTTTGGGGACTGGTTCTCTCTGTGTAGCCCTGGCTGGCCTTGGACACCCTATGTAGAAGAGGCTGGCCTTGAACTGACAGACATCCACATACCACCCCCCTAATGCTGCGGTTAAAGGTCTGAGTCAATCATGCCCAGCATTTTCCTGATAACTTTTTTTCTTTTGTAGGAAAATGCTAAAACATCAAGGAAGTTACACTTTCAAGATAAAGTTGGATTTGAAGGAGGAACAGCCAGAATCCTTCCCATCTATTGAAGGATTTGAGAAATTTCTTTCTTGTGGGGTGTGTGTGTGTGTGTGTGTGTGTGTGTGTGTGTGTGTGTGTGTGTGTGTCCCCATGGTGCTCCTTCATGTGCATGTCTGTGCGGAGGCCAGAGGATAATCTTGGGTATTATACCTCAGGTACTGGCCATCTCTTTCTCTTTCTTTCTTTCTTTCCTTCTTTCTTTCTGAGATGGGACCCATCACCTAGAATTTGTCCGGCAGAACAGGCTGTCGCCAGGGCCATCTGTGTCTTGGCTAGGCCTGGGATTACAATTATCTGTCACCATACTGGCTTTTACATTTTTTTTCTGGGGATGGAACTTTTTTCCTCCTTGTACGTTTGCTTTATTGACTGTGTATCTCTAATACTGTCTCTGCCATATTAATTAAATAATTGACATCTAGGAGTCTGTGTCTTTATATAGTATAATTTTAAAGAGGGGGGGATCTTACTAAGTAGTCCAGACTGGCCTGAAACTTGAGATCCTCCTGCCTCAGCATCCTGAAGGGCAAAGATTACAGGCATGGCTGCTACGCCCGTAAGAACATAAAAATTTAAGGGTTTCTGATCCAGTGTGAGGATCTGAGTAAATTATGGTCTGGTGGATGGACCGAGGAGTACTGATGTGACAGCTGGCAGCCATTCTCTGCGACTTGGGGACATGACTGGAACAAGAGTCTCTGTGAGCTGACCAGGAGGCCTCTCTCAGAGAGGCTCCTATGAGAAATGGCACCACAGTGTGAAAGCGGGTTATCTGGTGAGACTGTGAAAGTCTTTGTACCACTCACAGTCAGATCAGATCGGTTGAGGGTGAGGGAAACACACTTCTAACCATTTTAGGTAGGAAACGGAAAATTTCAACGAACTCACAAAAACACATGGAGATGAGGGTTCAGTGGACCTCACAACGGAGGGGTGGGGGGGGAGCTGTACAAGCTTCTCTCACTACCCCTCACTTCTGGTCCTTTTACTATATCTCTGTATTTCCTTACTCAAAAAAGAAACGCAACTGCCCAAGCCCACCCTGGTCTTCCTCTTTCTGCTTCCCTCCATCTGGTTCCAACTTGCAATACCCCCAAAGAGTTTATGATTGATGCAGCTTCAGTAGGACATCTATCTCACTGACTTATTGCCTTTGCGGCCGTGTCATCTGGAGCGTGGGACGGACAGCGTCACATCAGTGCACTAAAACACGTGGATGAAGGGAGATGAAGCAGGCCCAATCGAGGATGGCTCTTGAGTGTGGGTGACCAGCTGGGTGATGATACCATTAACTCAACCTGGTTTCAGAGGCATAGCACAGGCTCAGAGGGCCTGGAAGCACCGCTCAGTGGTAAGAACAAGGAGGCCAGGGCCAGACTCTGGTTTGAATCCTACTACTTACCGACTGCATGACTGCTGTGTTCAAAGCCTGTTTCTGCACGATAACAGCAATACCTACTTTATAAGGTCCGTTATCAACATCAACTAAAATTCTCTGTATAGCATATACATTTGTATGTATGTATGTATATATATATATATATCAAGCTCTACTAATAAAAATATACAAATAAATTTTATTCAAAAGACACTGATTGTACCCAAATAATTTATTCAGATCTGGGTCATAATCCAAAATTTGGACCTCCAAAGAGAGTCTTTTTGGATATACTGCTCTGTTTCAATGCAATGTTAAAAGCCAGGGAAGGACGTAGTGCTAAATCCCTCTGGAATTCGGTTAATCACTAACTCATGCTACGCCTTGGATGAAGGACTTAATTTAGTCATTGCTAACTGAGGTTGCTATAGCATATCAGAGCAGTTCTGATGTACACTATCTGATAGTATTGTCTTAATATTAATATTCATTGACATGTGATGAGAAGAAAGAAAAGGTAGAACTAGAGTAATCTAGATAACTGGTTGGTTTGATCTGGGTTAATAAATGAAAGCCAGGAGACAGCTGTTGACTCGCCTCACTGCGGGCTCTTCTACAGATATTTCTGAGCCTGCCTCTGGGGAGAGCTGGCCCCATACATCTGTTTCCTGGGAGCTGAAGGTTGCAAAGTGTGTGTGTGTGTGTGTGTGTGTGTGTGTGTGTGTGTGTGTGTGTGTGTGAGAGAGAGAGAGAGACAGAGACAGAGACAGAGACAGAGAGACAGAGAGACAGAGACAGAGAGACAGAGAGACAGAGACAGATAGAGAACGTGGGAAGGAGAGATCAGCATACTTCATGGAAATCTAACCCTAAAGGGATGAAGGACGAGATTTGCACAAAAGGCAGCCCACATGTTTTATCATTTCTCCTCAACTTAGGTCCCACATACATGAGGCAGACCAAGCTCCTGCCCTCAGCATCTGTGACGGAAGGAAAACAACACTCTGGCAAAGCCTGTAGGGAAATCTGTGCCCATCGGGCCCAGGCTGATGGTGGGTCAGGGGGAAATCTTTGAAGAGCAGAGAAAAGCAGGGTCCTGAAAGTCACCCCCACACGTTTCCACATGAACCCCACATTCCCAATAGCTTCCCGCTTTATTCATTTTACACAGAGCACCGTAATGCAGAGTCCTTCCCCACTTGTATGCAGGCCTCCAGCGGTGATCCCCAGCCAATGTTTCCATTTATCTCCAAGCAAAGAGAAGGACATTGGCATTTTGGTGCCTGAAGTGGATTTTGAATCCATTGCTGGCTCAGAAGAGCGGGGTCTTTCAACTAGCCCCTGCTTACGGCCACAGTGGAAAGTTAAAAACGTCGATTTTGCCAGGCGTTGGTGGCGCACGCCTTTAATCCCAGCACTTGGGAGGCAGAGGCAGGTGGATCTCTGTGAGTTCGAGGCCAGCCTGGTCTACAAGAGCTAGTTCCAGGACAGCCTCCAAAGCCACAGAGAAACCCTGTCTCGAAAAACCAAAAAAAAAAAAAAAAAAAAAAGTCAAAAAATTTTTTTCACAAACCCACTCGGCAGCCTAGTCACACGCCCATGGAGACGAGGGAAGGTGGAACAGAAGAGGACTGGCCATAACAGGATGTGCTGAGCTCGGTGGAGCTCTTAGGCTATCTTCCACACTAGTCATCTGTTCCCACTCTGCTGTTTACAAGTCAGGAAATGAAACAGAAGGGAAGATGGTGAACAAGGAAGCTCTAGAAGCTTTTCTGAGCAGTGTGGTTTTCTCAAATTTTATCACCGGCAACAGAGACACGTCAAGGTTTTAGATAAGACAAGCCTGTAGTAACTGTAGTGCCCTCCTGGGTGCAGAGCCACTGGGGATAGCAGCGGCTCTCTCCGCCAGCTGGCTCCGAGGCAGTGGTTCTCAACCTTGCTGAAGCGGTGACTCTTTAATACAGTTCTTCATGTTGCGGTGACCCCCAACCATAGAATTATTGTGTTGCTACTTCATAACTGCAGTTTTGGTGATGTCACGAACCGCAACGTAAATATCTGATACGCAGGGTATCTGATATGCGACCCCCCCCCCCCGTGAAAGGGTCTTTTGACCCCCAAAAGGGTGGCGATCCACAGGTTGAAAACCAATGCTGAAAAGGTTCCCTGCGTGAGTCTGTAAGTTTGTAGACCTACAGAGCTGCTTAAAAGGGAAATGCCTGGCTGAAATCCCAGCTTAAGTGTGCCTTTCCACCGAGCTGTCATGAGGAACAAAGACGTCTGTAAAGGACCAATAGGATGAAGTGTTCATTCACTGCACTTGTCAAGGGTAGTCTAGACTTCTCCAAGATGTCACTTGGCCCTGTCATTAATGCCTTAAATATTTAAAAAAAAAAAAAAAGCCTTCTTCCGCAGTCTCAGCTGGGACTACCAGAATGTTCCACCCAAAATCAAACCTGACCTATTCGTATCCACAGAGATACTGACTCAAAAGAAAACAAAGGGACCGGAAAGATGGCTCAGTTGGTGAAGGGCTTGCTTTGAAAGTGTCAAGACGAGTTCCACCATCAGAGCCCGGGGGTGGGCAGAGATGAAGATCAAACACAGCAGCCTCACTGACGTTGTCCTAGCATCGAGATGCTCAGCAGCAAACCCCACTGCTGTGGGTGGCAGGTGAGGCAGTGGACTCAGCCCCGATAACCACACCCTCCAGAGGCTTAGCCGTAAACACGAGAAAACAACTAGAAAGAAGCGCAGAGGGGTGAGGGGGCTGGGGAGACGGCTCAGGTAAGGGCTTGCCACCTAAGCATGAAGACCCTACTTCAACCCCAGGTGTTCCTCACCGCTCATAAAAGGCCGTGGCGGGGAGGTGGGGCGCAGACCGGAGAGATGGCTCAGCAGTTAAGGGCACTGGCTTATCTTCATTTTAGAAGACATTGGCATTTTGGTGTCTGAAGTGGATTTTAGAAGATAAGCCAGTGCCCGGTTGGTGGTGGCGCACGCCTTTAATCCCAGCTGAGGCAGGCAGATCTCTGAGTTTGAGGCCAGCCTGCTCTACAGACAGCCAGGGCTACACAGAGAAACCTTGTCTCGAAAATAAGCCAACCATCAAAAGACTCACGTGAAAGGTAATGATGGTAAAGATGCAGGGGTGAGGTAATGATGATGAAGATGCAGGGGAGAGGTAATGATGAAGAGTCAGGGGAGAGGTAATGCCCTCCCTCAGAATGCAGAGAATGGAGTCCTAAAGGTGGATCTGCCCACGCCCTGAAATCTAGTAGGAAGACTACCTATGCCACACAGTCTCAAACATCTGAAGGGAGGGGGACCCCCGTAGAGACTGTAGGGGAAAGAAAAATGGCAGGTTGGAAGGTGCAGGCAGGAGTCTAAGGTGACAGAGAAGCTCGTCTTCATGTCACGGCGACTTTTCATAATTCAGAACTGCGCACCTCCAGCCTGGCTTCACACAGCTCCCTCAGGGACTGGCTCACAGCTGCCCTAGAGGTGGACAAACGTGTTGTTGTTAGAATGTTTTCATTGTGTAGACCCGGATGAGTGAAAAAGAGAGATTTAAACAAAAGTCAGAAAAGTCTTCTGACTCCCCAACTCTGACCCCAGCCTGTCTGCCAGAGGCCACCTCCCTCGAGTGAAGGGGTCCAGAGATGTGCCAAGCCAGCAGCTGCTCTATGGGAGTGAGAGCCCAGGCAACCACTTCCCAGGAAGAAGCTCCAACAATATCCCTTTTTTAACACAAACAAACCCGCAGTTTGTGAGTCACAAATTACTCCCTCTCTGCAGGAGGTCCATCCTGAGATTTGTTTGGGCCTCTGCAGGAGAACTGGCTTCATTTCCAGTTAGATTACAAAGAAAAGCTGAGGTCATCCAGGAGCAGAGAGGAAGCCATCACATGGTCTCTTGCAGAGTGAGAGCCATCAGCCACAGTCCTGGAGAGTGGATGCCAGGGGCAGAAAGACCAGGACCGAGGGAGTGGAATAGGCGTCGGGATTCGTTACCTGTCTTGTTCCTTGTGCTTGGTTTGGGGC